ATTGTGGTTTTAATTTATATTTCCATGATGATTATTGATGTTGAGTACTTTTTCATGTATCTGTTGCTCATTTGTATATCTTCTTTTGAGAAATGTCCATTCAGGTCCTTTGCCCATTGTAAAATCACATTGTTTTCTTGCAATTGAGTTGTTTGAGTTCCTTATCTATTTTTAATATTAACCCTTTATCAAATGAATGGTTTAAAAATATTTTCTCCCATTTCATAGGTTGTCTCTTTATTCTGATGGTTTTCCCTTTGTTGTGTGGAAGCATTTTAGTTTGATGTAGTCCCATTTGTTTATTTTTGCTTATGTTTCCTGTGCTTATGGGCTCATATCTAAGAAATCTTTGCCCTGACTAATTTCAAGAATCTTTCACTCTGTTTTTCTCTAGTACTTTCACTGTTTTTGGTCTTAATGTTTAAGTCTTTGATCCATTTTGAGCTGATTTTTGTATATGGAGTGAGGTAAGGGTCTGATTTCATTCCTCTGCATGTGGATGTCTAGTTTTACCACACCGGTTATTGAAGAGACTGTTCTTTCCCCACTATGTGTTCTTGGCACCTCTGTCAAAGATCTGTTGACCATAAATGCCTGGATTTATTTCTTGGCTCTCTGATAAAGAGATAATTTTTTAAAATTTAAATTTATATTGTGAATTAGGTCTGTGAAGAAGTATAATGGGCTTTGACAGCATGTAACAGCAGGCTGTAATTTTGTCTGGGAGGTCAGTAGAGGTTGTGCTGAGGAAGTGTCATTTAAGATGAGCCTTGAAGGGCAAGCAGAGCTTAGTCTGATGAGAAATGGGGATGGGAAGACCATTTTAGAAAGAAAGGAACAGGATGTGGAATGGTTCCACCGTGGCCCAGGGCCACAGCATGAATCAGTGGCTGAGCTGGGACTAGCAGAAATCAGATATATGGTTCCAGGCCCTGTGTTCTTTGCATTCAACCACACTGGGTGCATTTTTGGCCCTGTATCACAGAGCTCTATGCTCATTCATCAGAAGAGGGCAGACACTCTAGGTGGGTAAAGCAGGGAGGGCAAAGACATGGAGGTGGGAAGACGGCTGGCATGTGTGGGAGGGAGCAGGTTGGCCCATGACTTGGGGTGAAGCGCTCTTACGGAGGAGAGGTGGGACAGTTGGAAGAAGCAGTGGGAAAGTTGAAAGATGAAAGGATGAGGTCCTTAACCAAAGAGCTACAGGTTGGGATAGCAGGGGAGGCCAGGTGAGATGCTGAGATCAGCTGTTGTTTCAGCAGTTTGACCGTTTATTTCAGGCTTGTTCTAAAAAAGGGTTTGGCTGCGCGTGGTGGCTCATGCCTGTAATCCCAGTACTTTGGGAGGCCAAGGTGGGCAGATCACTTGAGGTCAGGAGTTCGAGACCAGCCTGGCCAACATGGTGAAACCTCATCTTGAAGAAGAAGATTAAAAAGGGTTAATGGTAACTTAGAAACATACATACATATACTGTTTTTTTTTTTTAAATACATATGCTAGGATCACAAAACCTCATGCTGCAGTAGCCCCTACATGTCTAGATCTATAGCTGTATTCCTTCATTTTGTTTTTCTCCTCTGCTTTCTAGTAGCACCTATGAATACCTTACACATGTCTGATATACACCTAGATGCTAGAGTTAAAGACAGAAAGAGAGGGTCCCTTTCAGTAGGGAACCCAGGATCACAGGGCACTGGCAGGGCATAGAAGGGATAGAAGGTGTCAGTGGGAGAGGGGGACTTCTGGCAGGATGTAATCCAGAAAGCCTTACCAATGTCTTGGGCCACGTGGGTGGAAGAGCAGAACAGAGAAGTGACTCTTAGCTGGAGGCATTAAGCCTTCATTCACCTTTTGACAGTAGCTTGGGAACTCTGGAAGGACAAGGATCTGGCTTTGCTGAGGAGGATGCAGGTGCTCAGGAATAGATGGCTAAACAGGTGGACAAGCATTCATACCACAACACTAATAAGGATTCTTCCTATTTAAGAGGATTCTTAAAATAGGAAAGGACAGTACCAAGTCTAATAAAGGATTCTGGCATCTCCCACCTCCTGCTAGTTGACAGTTCTTATTTCTCAAGTTGCTGTATAGCATTAACTGGTTTGGAGATTATTAACTAGTTTAGAGACTTGGTTTAGAGTCGGTCCTGTTGGTGAAATTTCACTGTTTAAAGAAGATACCTTGGGTTTCAGAATTAGATTTGAGCCTTTGTTTCTCTAGTGGATTGCGTTCTCGTAGGAGACTTCTGTCCATCTATAGGGTAGTTTCTGGTGGTGGTTTTCTACGGGGAGGTTTGGCAGGCCCTGCCCACTCGGGATCTCCTGCCAGGGAGAAGAAATCCCTGCTGGTAGGTGACTGAGTGCCTGGCACACGGTGGGGGATGAGATGCAGGAATCATTTACTCTTTCTATTGAACCTGGTGAGGGGCTGTTAAGATACAGCTCCTGCTCAGGCCTTTTGTACTGGGGATGCCTCATTTCGTGTCTGTTCTAGAGAATTCCTTCTGACCCCTTCTTCTGCCATCCGTCTCTCATCCTTGATAGTGCTTCTTCCCTTGTGTTTCCATCCATTGTGGCCACAGACTCAGTGTCTTCTGTGTGTCACCTCTTAGCCAGCTGCCTTGGCTGGGCCCACCATCCCATCTCACCTGCCTGGTGACGAACCTGACTTGTTAGCTTCCTTTTCAAATTGCAAATTCAACATTCTTTTCTCAAATGAACAATCATTTTGTAAAGCAAATAGTTATCCCACTTCCCCTGAATGATGTTTTGCAAGATTTAAAAATAATAGTTTGTTGAATGTGAAGCGATACCTGTTTCATGGGATTCCTTTTTAGTGGCAGGATTGAGGACCAGGATGACACTGGCTTCTAGATAAACTGGTCTGCCTGCCCTCCAAGCTGCAGTTGTTCAGTTGGCACATGGTAGAATCTCTGTAATAAAGAATTGCATTAAAGGAGGTTTGTGTTTCCTATAAAGAGTTCCATCAAATCATTCACTAAGGATTTTGGAAAGAGAAACCAAATTCTTTAAAAAGAAGCGGGGGGAGGGCAAAGGAGAAGGAAAAAGAACGTTAAACAATTCATTTACACTAATGGCCCTTGTGTTATTGTGGCAAAATTACTTCTAAATAAAAACCAAAGAGAAAAAACAAGCTGTGTTTGGGAGGTGTACTGTCTGTTCTCTGCCTTGTTTTTCTGCTGTGAAGTATAGTGTACTGTCTTGACGTAGGGATGTAACTGCTATGAATATTGATGGCAGCAAAAGCTTTTTTTTTTTTTTTTTTTTCCTGTCTGGCCTAGTAAATAAAGCAGCAAGGATAAAAAGGGATGAATTGTAAAATCAGTGTGCTGTTTTTAGCTTCTCTGGTTCCCTTAGAACTCTTAAGTCTCAAGCATATTGACAATCTGCGTTTGGTGGTCAGGGTCTCATGTGAGCACAGTGGGTTGGCATTTTCAGGGATTTTTGCCTCTGGCTAAAGTAACAGAGTCCCTTTTTCTTTGAGCTTTCAGAGTTAAAGTTACAGCCTCGTTGAGGCCTTCCTGGATCTTTCTCCCTATCCAGTGGCAACGCTGGTCCCTGCTCCTCAGAATACCATAGTGGTGTGAGCGGGCCAGCCATTGTTTCCTCCAACAGCCACGCCCCGCCTGCATCCTGAGGGAGCACTCCCCTGGGGGATGTGGCAGGGGACCAGGTGACGGGGAATCTGGACAGCAAGAAATTCTCTGTGTGTACATTCGAAACTTCCCCCTCTGCACCCCCTCCCCTCCACACACACACACACAGCAGACTAAATGATAGGTCCCATAGTGGGGTCATTTTTCTGGCTCCTGGTACAGTGCCTGTCATTTAGAAGTGGTGTCCACATAAGTGTTTCGTGAGCCTTATTTGACTTCTTGCACTAAGCATTTTAATGAGTGAATTTCATGACTTCCATTTCTCTGAGATGTTGGTAATTTTTCAGGTCTCATTCATTTTAGTATAGGACTTTATATTTTATATTGAAAAGTTACAGTTACTGATGTTACTTTAAGTAGCTTCATGTCTGGGGATGCCTCTTGGAAAGTTAATTACACACATCTCTGTCCGTCCCTATTTCTAGTGAAACTAAAGCCATATAAAGAAAACATTTATAAAAGAGAAAAGAGACAGTTTTTAGACTTGCTGATTGATACGTTTTCTACAACTCATGGAGTTGCATGGATTGGAACTGGAAAGGTTTTAATAGTCATTTAGCTCATGGGCAGTACCTGTGAGGTCTGTGGCAGTCAGATGGGCATGGCTGCTGGGACAGATACAAGAGAAAGGGTCAGATGCTGAACCCAGGTTTCCTGGGAAAGTACATGGTGACCTGTCACAAGGTCAGCCAGTAGAGGTGGCATGCCAGTAAGCAGGCAGGGTGTTTGCCATCCTGAATTCTCTTCCCTTACTGTGGGGATGCAGAAACTTATGTCCAGAGGAGGGGAGGGACTTGGCCAAGGTCACCTTGCTGCTCAGTGACAAAGCTGACTCTGACTTCGAAGTCAGACATAAACCCAAGTGGAAGAGAGGGTCAAAACAGATGCATCTTCATTTCTTCCGGAGGACATTCTGTTCAAAGCCACTGTTGGAATCCCTGTTGTACCCTTGTGCTTTTCTGGGCCTGATTTGGCAACCTCAAGAGGAAAACATGCTGCATTTTGCAAATGTGTGCAAATAACAAACATGCCCATTACATCCTAGGCAGACTCATTGCACACGCATCGGGGCAGGTGGCAAAATGCAGTCATGCAGCCTGGAACGAAAAGTGTTGTGCACTTAGTTGCTTATGAGAAATTCAGTGTTAAAATGTAAATGCCTTCCTGGCCCAGGGGCAGTGTAATTGTTGCGTTTCCCATAATAAAACTTTGCTTGGAGGAAAATGCTTATATGTGTAAGATGTTGATTCTAATCTCTGCTCCTTTTTCTGTCTCCTCTTCCTCCCCTACTTTTTTTGGCATGTTTCTTTGTTTTTCTCCACAGGAAAAAGTAGAATATGCCTTCCTGATTATTTTTACAGTCGAGACATTTTTGAAGATTATAGCGTATGGATTATTGCTACATCCTAATGCTTATGTTAGGAATGGATGGAATTTACTGGATTTTGTTATAGTAATAGTAGGGTAAGTCCCTTTTACTTTGGGGAAATGTTGATTTGGAAAATGGGAGGTGGAGGTTGTGGGTGGGGAGTGCAACAGAACAGTCCTTTTAGGGAATGTGGTTGCTCTTTTATGCCAGCTATTGCACCAGAATCTCTCAGGAGTTCATATATATATATTATAGCACTTTAGGTTCTGGGGTACATGTGCAGAACATGCAGGATTGTTGCATAGGTACATACACGGCAATATGGTTTGCTGCCTCCATCCCGCCGTCGTCTATATCTGGCATTTCTTCCCATGTTATCCCTCCCCAACCTCCCTACCCCTCGCTGTCCCTCCCCTATTCCCCCACAACAGACCCCAGTGTGTGATGCTCCCCTCCCTGTGTCTGTGTGCTCTCAGCAGTTCTTTTCAGGCTGATGTTGTTGCTGTCAATCTCTGGGCAGAGACTAGTTTGAAATTCTCTCGTTGTTACTCCCCTTTTTAGTAAGATGTTGTAGAAGGGAGTCTAAGCTCCTGATGTGAGAGGCTTTACCTTGCAGGGTCTTGGAGCTCCAGAAATAGACCAACCCTGCTGGTGATTAGAGTCAAATTAGTAGAGCTTTTAATACTTAGTGCCAATGTTAAGTTAAAAAAAAAAGTAAAAAGTAATAAAATCTTCATAGCAGTGAGGTACTCTGCTATTTAACATCCCTTGAGCAAAACTGTTGTTGTTATTATTTTTTGCTGACTTGTGGGAGAAACTCTGGCATACTACTATTCCATTTTAAATAACAAAACAAGTATCTGGATAATGTCACATATCTGGCATAAAATGAAATAAGCTAGAAAATGCAGAGAAGCAGGCGTTCCACCAAAATCCTGTTGCAGGAAGAAGACATCAGTAGTTTTAGTTAAAGAAGAATGTTAAAATAAAAAATAGTGGCCTGTGTTATTTTAGTCCTTCCACACCTGGAAATGCTGCCAGGAAGAGAAAAATGAATCCACGTTACAGGAACGCTGGGTCTTTGGACCAAATACCCATGTAGGAAGATAAGCTATATCCTTTCTCCCAGTCTTAGTTACGCTAGCTGTAAAGTGAGTTGCTCCTAAAATTATGTTTCTGTGAAGAGAGGTTTTTAAATAGCCTCTCTGTTTTCATCTTCATGACTTCAGTGAACTGCCTTTTGCAGTTGAGCAAGGTGATTTTTCTTGTGGATTATCCTTTTATCATGAATCCTTTGGCTTTTCATTGGAGACTAACTCTGCTGTGTGGGGAGAATGGAATTGGTTCTGGGCTTTCCTACGTCCCTTCAACCTCGGAAGTTAATATGAGATCCTAATTGCCCAGTGGGACAATTAGACTTGTGGAAAAAAAACTTAGCTTTTGTTTTTGGTTCCATTTACGTGATGGATTACATTTACAGATTTGTGTATGTTGAACCAGCCTTGCATCCCCGGGATAGAGCCTACTTGGTCGTGATGGATAAGCTGCTTCATGTGCTGTTGCTATCTGTTTGCCAGTATTTTATTGAAGATTTTTGCGTCGATGTTCATCATGGATATTGGCTTGAAGTTTTCTTTTTTAGTTGAGTCCCTGCCTGGTTTTGGTATCAGGATGATGTTGGTCTCATGAGTTAGGGAGGATTCCCTCCTTTTGTATTGTTTGATACAGTTTCAGAAGGAATGGAACCAGCTCCTCTTTGTACATCTGGTAGAAGTCGGCTGTGAACCTGTCTGGACCTGGACTTTTTTTGGTTGGTAGGCTATTGATTGCTGCCTCTACTTCAGCCCTTGTTGTTGGTCTATTCAGGGTTTCAACTTCCTCCTGGTTTAGTCTTGGTAGAGTACAAGTATCTAGGAATTTATCCATTTCTTCCTGGTTTACTGGTTTATGTGAGTAGAGCTGTTTGTAGTAATCTCTGATGGTGGTTTGTATTTCTGTGGGATCAGTGGTGACATCCCCTTTATCATTTTTTATTGCATCTATTTGATTCTTCTCCCTTTTCTTTTTTATTAATCTGGCTAGAGATCTATTTTGTTGATCTTTTCAAAAAACCAACTCCTGGATTTGTTTATTTTTTGAAGGGTTTTTTGTGTGTCTATCTCCTTTAGTTCTGCTCTGATCTTAGTCATTTTTTTGTCTTCTGCTAGCTTTTGAGTTTTTTTGATCTTGCTCCTCTAGCTCTTTCAATTTTGATGATAGGGTGTCAATTTTAGATCTTTCCTCTATTCTCTGGTGGGCATTTATTGCTATAAATTGCCCTCTCAACACTGCTTTACAGGTGTCCCAGAGATTCTAGTAAGTTGTGTCTTCATTCTGGTTGGCTTTGAAGAACATCTTTATTTCTGCCTTCATTTCATTGTTTATCCAGTCGACACACAGAAGAAAGTTGTTCAGTTTCCAAGTGGTTGTGCAGGTTTGAGTGTGTTTCTTGACCCTGAGTTCTTGCCTGATTGTGCTGTGGTCTGATAGACTGTTATGATTTCTGTTCTTTTGCATTTGCTGAGGAGTGATTTGCTTCCAATGATGTGGTCAATTTTAGAGTAAGTGCAATGCGGTGCTGAGAAAAATGTATATTCTGTGGACTTGGGATGGAGAGTTGGCTATATGGCTATTAGGTCTGCTTGGTCCAGCTCTGCATTCAAGTCCTGGATATCCTTGTTAATTTTCTGTCTAATATTGACAGTGGAGTGTTGAAGTCTCCCACTATTATTGTGTGGGAGTCTAAATCTCGTTTTAGATTGTTAAAAACTTGCTTTATGTATCTGGGTGCTCCTGTGTTGGGGGTGTATATATTTAGGATAGTTAGCTCTTCCTGTAGGATTGATACTTTTTACCATTATGTAGTGTCCTTCATTGTCTCTCTTGATCTTTGTTGGTTTGAAGTCCATTTTATCAGAGACTTAGGACTGCAACCTCTGCTTTTTTTGTTCTCCATTTGCTTGGTAAATCTTCTTCCATCACTTTATTTTGAGTCTGTGTGTGTCTTTGTATGTGAGATGGGTTTCCTGAATACAGCACACCAATGGGCTCTGACTTTTTATCCAGTTTGCCAGTCTGTGTCTTTTGATTGGGGAGTTTAGGCCATTTACATTCAATGTTAATATTGCTATGTGTGAATTTGATCCTGCCATCTTGTTACTGGCTGGTTTTCTTTCCCATTAGTTGACTCATTGTCTTCATTGCATTTTTGATCTTTGCCAACTGGTTTGCTTTTGCAGTAACTGGTACTTGTTCCTTTCCATGTTTAGTGTTTCTTTCAGATGATTATCTCAATAGATGCAGAGAAGGCCTTCGATAAAATTCCACAGCACTTCATGCTAAAAATTCTCAATAAACTAGGTATCGACAGAACGTATCATAAAATGATAAAAGCTATATATGACAAACCTACAGCCAAAATCATACTGAATGGGCAAAAGCTGGAAGAATTTCCTTTGAAATCAGGCACTAGACAAGGATGCCATCTCTCACCACTCCTATTCAACATAGTATTGGAAGTTCTAGCCAGAGCAATCAGGCAAGAAAAAGAAATAAAGGGCATTCAATTAGGAAAGGAGGAAGTCAAACTGTCTCTATTTGCAGATGACATGATTGTATATTTAGAAGCCCCCATCGTCACAGCCCAAAATCTTCTCAAATTGATAAGCAACTTCAGCAAAGTCTCAGGATACAAAATCAATGTGCAGAAATCACAAGCATTCCTATATACCAATAACAGGCAAACAAAGAGTAAAATTAAGAGCTAACTCCCAAAGGACGTAAAGGACCTCTTCAAGGAGAACTACAAACCACTTCTCAACGAAATTAAGAGAGGACACAAACAGGTGGAGAAACATTCCATGCTCATGGTTAGGAAGAATCAATATCGTGGAAATGGCCATACTGCCCAAAGTAATCTATAGATTCAATGCTATCCCCATCAAGCTACCAATGACCTTCTTCACAGAACTGGAAAAAAACACTTTAAACTTCGTATGGAATCACAAAAGACCCCGCATAGCCAAGACAACCCTAAGCAAAAAGAACAAAGCCGGAGGCATCTCACTGCTGGACTACAAACTATACTACAAGGCTACAGTAATCAAAACAGCATGGTAATGGTACCAAAACAGAGACATAGACCAATGGAACAGAACAGAGACCCCAGAAGAAACACCACACATCTACAACCATGTGATCTTTGACAAACCTAGCAAAAACAAGCAATGGGGAAAGGACTCCATGTTTAATAAATGGTGTTGGGAAAACTGGCTAGCAATGTGCAGAAAGCAGAAACTGGACCCCTACCTGTCACCTTACACTAAAATTAACTCCAGACGGATCAAAGATTTAAACATAAAAACAAACACCATAAAAACACTTGAAGAAAATGTAGGCAAAACCATCCAGGACATAGGCATAGGCAAGGACTTCATGACTAAAACGCCAAAAGCAATGGCAATAAAAGCCAAGATAGACAAATGGGATCTAATGAAACTCCAGAGCTTCTGTACAGCAAAAGAAACCATCATTAGAGTGAATCAGCAACCAACAGAATGGGAAAAAATTTTTGCAATCTACCCATCTGACAAAGGGCCATTATCTAGAATCTACAAGGAGCTAAAACAGATATATAAGAAAAAAAAAAACAACCCCATTCAAAAGTGGGCAAAGGATGTGAACAGACACTTTTCAAAAGAAGACATACATGAGGCCAAGAAACATATGAAAAAATGCTCATCATCACTGGTCATTAGAGAAATGCAAATCAAAACCACACTGAGATATCATCTCACACCAGTTAGAATGGTGATCATTAAAAAATCTGAAAACAATAGATGCTGGAGAGGATGTGGAGAAATAGGAGCACTCTTACACAGTTGGTGGGAGTGTAAATTAGTTCAACCATTGTGGAAGACGGTGTGGTGACTTCTCAAGGATCTAGAAATGGAAATTCCATTTGACACAGCAATCCCATTACTGGGTATATACCCAAAGAACTATTAATTGTTCTACTATAAAGACACATACATATGTATGTTCATTGCAGCCCTCT